GCCAGACCACCTCTTTGTGAAGGACTAGTGCGGAATGCTGTATTTATGATGGAATAGCCCAGTGTCAGACAGGAGTGTGCTCACTTAGGTAAATCCTAATGCTGCTAGTAAACAGTGGTAAAGCATCTGCTAGATCCTAAGTTGGCAGTCTGGAGGTGGTGGCCATGTTTCTGGGCTGTGTCATCAGGAAAGAAAAGAAGATGTGGAGCCTGTGGGAAATCCTACTAATCCAGCCCTGTGCAGAGTTTAGCTGTGTGAAAGCAAGGAAAAGACGAGAATGCATGGGTTATTTAGGAACCAACTCAAGGCTGCAGCAAGAACAATAAAATTCCCGAGGAGGGAGAGGTCTCCAGTGGGATCCTGAAGGAGGGAAGGGCGTGGGAAGACAGGAGGTTTTCATTCCATTCAGGCCCCTCCACTCCAGGAGCCCAGGGCTGGAGCTGCAAAAGCCAGTAAGGGGGTGGCCCTGCCCTGGCCCCCCAAGTCTCTGTGGGGTTTGATCTGTACTCACTGCTGTCTCCACCTGGGCTCCAAGCCTCCTCGATTTATTAGTTGGGATGGGATGGGTGGAGCTTATTTCCTATGGGGAAGCTTTCCTGGAATCATGGTTGGGGCTGGCTTTGGGTACATTGAGCCCAGTCCTCAGTGCTTTGGGGGGCCGTGTTAAGAATGTGCAGGCCCTCACCTGACTTAGTCTGGTGGAACATAGCATTCCTGGGGATTGGCTAGGGGACAGTTTTTTATAAAACCAGGGGCACCTGCCCTACCCTTTGGATTTCTCCCCATCCTTTCCACCTGACAAGAATCAGGGCCACAGCATCTGCGAAGCCCTTTTTTCTCACCACACCTTGTGAGAATCAGGATTTTCTAGGCCATGATTCCTGTGGGCTCAACCAGCCAGCGAGAATGGCTACAGAAGCACCATGGGATGCAGAGCAAGACACTCTGTTCCCATCCCTCCCCTCTCCCAGGAGCCCAGGGCTTTTGCCGGTTTTATCCCTGTCACCCATTTCCCTTTGTGCCCCAGGGACCTGTTCCTACTCCCTCCCCCATAAATCATTTCATCCTGAAAATACTCAAAAAGAAAATAGTGTAGATATTTTTGTGAAACTCCAGGTTATAAGGGGGGCGGGGTGGGGGACTTGCTAAATGCTCCATCTGTGAACAAAAGTAGCAGAGTCAGCACAGGAACCAAGTTTCTATTCCTTTTTCTTTGGTGCTGGTACTTGTGCTTGAAGGCTTAAACAGCCTAGGTGCTGTCTCTAAACTGTTTTTGCTCAAGACTGGTGCTCGGTCACTTGAGTCACAGCTCCACATCTGACTTTTTGGTGGTTAATTGGAGATAAGGGTCTCATGGACCTTCTGCTTGGGCTGGAGGGTGATCCAACCTCTCAAATCAGATCTCAACCTTGTGAGTATCTAGGATTATAGGCATGAACCACAGTCAGCTGGCTGGTGTATTTTTGTGGTAGTATTGGAGATTGAATTTAGCATTCCAGATTGGAGGTTGCTCTGCCAGTGAAGACTTGACTTTGTCTTTCAGATAGGGTCCTGTGCTTTTGCCCTAAGTGGCCTTGGACAGCCATCTTTCCATTTCCTGAGTAACTGGGATTACACAGCTTGTTTTGATTGTTGGTTTTGTTTTTGGTGGCACTTGTGCTGGGTCTCAAGGCCTTGCATTTGCCCAGACAGGCAATCTACCTACTACTTGAGCCACATCCCTGGGCTTTTTTCTTTTCATTATTTTTCTAGGCTGGCCTGGGCCAAGACCTTCTTTACTTCACTGCTGGGATGAAAGGCACATGTCACCATGCCTGGCTTTTTGTTGATTGAGATGGATCCTGTGAACTTGGTGCCAGAGTTGGCTTGGAACTTTTTCCTTCTCATTTTAGCCACTCATGCTAAGAGCTACCATATCCTGCTTTCCAGCTTGTTTTTCTTACCTTTTTTCCCCATCTCTGGCCTCTAGCCTCAGTCTTCCCATCTCTGCCTCCTGAGTAACCCACAGGCTTCTATTATTCCTGTTCTACACCTCTGCCCTTGGAACCTCTCAGCTGGCAACCAAGTCTCTCCTACCTAGTACATGAGCCTGTGGGGGACATTTCATATTCAAACCTTAATGACTAGACTTGGGTTTCCAGACATTGAGCCTGCATTCAAGTACATTTGTCTCTTTCTCTGGAAAGATTCATTTCAGCTCTATCACACAGCTTTTATTATGGTGAGCGACAGGTTTCCATTGGGAAAGTCTAGAGTACCACACAACAACGTTAGAGAATAGTAGGCCCAGATGCTTCATTATAGAGATGTGAGCATTCAAGCCTAGCGGAGTTAGGCCACTCTCCCAAGGTCACACAGCTAGTCCTCAGCAGGACCAAGCATTCAGATTTGCAATCTGATGGCCTTTGTATTCCAGCAGGCCAAAAAACCCTGTTCATTTAGCTTGGTTCTGTGTCACCGAGGAGAGGGAGGTGGAGAAGGTCTAGAGAGAGTAGGAAGCAGTTGGTTTGTGTCTGTGGCAGCCACTCTGTTGGCTGCGCCTGCCTCTTTCCCCGAGCCAGCAAGCCCTCTCTGCCTCTCGGCCAGGGTTTGTGAGCCAAGGCATCTCTTCTGTTCATTGTAACAAGGTGGATGGCTCTCTCTCACCCCAGGAGAAAAGAAGGACTGGATTTATTTTGTACAGGGATTGGGAAATAAACCATTTGGAAAGACTTTTTTTTTTTTTAAGACAGGCTTGTTTCTGGTCTGCTTTCCAGTTTCCTTTGGGAACAAGAAAAGGAGAGCTGCTTATGGGAGGGAGGAAGGCAAGAAGAGTAAGCTCAAATTGTCTGCTGCTGGCCCCATCTAGCTTACTCTGTGGTTGTCTAAATAAAACTTTATTGGAACATGGCCCATTCCTTGTTTTCCATTGTGTTTGTGGCTGCTTTTGTATTACAAGGGGGCATTTGAGCAGCCTTAACTTCCTTGGCCCAGAATCACTTCTGGATTTTCTGGGCCTGGGTCAAGTGCCTTCCTATGGTTCACTAGAAGACGTGTACTTTTTCCTAAAATGTTTTCTCACAAAGAATCCAAAAGGAGCCCAAAATGGAAGTGTGCATGGTAGAAGGCTACTGGTGGTAGAGATGGTCTCTAAGCTGGGCCGGTACAAGGCTGTGTAGATTTAGAGGGGGCTGGACTAGGCCTGCACTATCCGAGCATAACCTTGTTAGGGAACAAGGACTGGGTACAGTAAGTCAGAATCTTACAAAGATGAGTTCTAAGCTGGTTAGTCCCTTCTTCTGTACTCATCCTTCCCGGGCCACAACAGCAAAAAGCCTGAGCAGTCCTCTGTATGTATGTCTGGTACCAGCCTTCCAGGACAATGGCACCAGCATCAAGCAACTCACTGCTAGACCTACTAAGAGGCTCTGGCCTCAGACCCAGCTCTGTTTGTCCCCACCTCCAGCTGACTTGGTGTCTGAGAGTGCTGGGAGGTAGGACAAGGTACCAGTGTGTTCTGGCAGTGAATGCTATCTAGTTATCACTCTTGCAGCTTGAGGCTGTGGCATATGCATACCACAGTCAGGAAATTCTGCCAATCTCTGCAACCTTGAAAGAGACGGACACTCTTACTAGTTATACAGCCTCAGACAAGCTAATTAGCCTATCGGTTTTAGTTTCTTCTAATACAAGATGAAGGGAATAATAGTGCTTTTCATTGTAGGTTTGCTGTGTGAAGTCAATGAGTTGCTGTGTGTGAAATACACACTACAAATGAGACAGACAGTAACTGTAAATGTTGCTGTTTATCTGCTGTTCATTGTAGCTAGCTGTGAAGGGGTCACAGCCCTGGTTCTCGGGTAAAATCTGCAAGACCTGCACCTCAATGTTCCCTTGTAATTGTCCCCACTGTGGCTAGTGCTCTGCTCTTAGAGGTGAGGGACAGCCCAACATGGAGCACTGGTCTTGGGGCACTGCCACACCAGGTTCCATGCCTGGCTTCTAGACACTTGGGCCAGTTGCCTCCTCTGTCTGAGCATTTCCGCCCCTGTAAAATGGGGCCTGAGAATGTGTGCCTACTTCGTGGGGTTATCACAGGTGCCAAATGGACCACTGTAGGCACACAGGTATGACCTGATGCCCTGCTAATGTTTACGCCAGTGAACCGCCAAGAGCTTTCTGCCTTGTTACCTGGCTAACAGTATCACATCTCACACCTACATGTTATTTTATGCGACTTTCCTTTTGTTCCTCCCTTTTGCCTGGAAGACAATATAACCCCATTTCCAGGTGAGGAAACTGAGACCCAAAGGGGCCACCATTGTGTAAGCCTAGAATAGATCCTTCCCACCCATCCACTCCCACCCCAAACTCCTGGTCACAGAGGTTCCTCTGCAGGGTTAGATTTGGTTTGGTTTGGGTGGGACTGGGTTGGGCTCTAAAGGGAGGGGAGCTCACATTCACCCACTGGGTCCTTCTTGTCGGTCCCCCTCCCTGGATGGGGCTATGGCAAGGGCTGGACAAAGACTTCAAGGCCTAGTAGATGTTTCCACATGACCTAGAGACTGGCCTTGGGTGCGACCAACCCTGACAGTGGAGGTTCTGGATTCGGTCTGCTGAGCCTGTTAGCCTGCGAGAGTCCTCAAAGCCATCAGGTCCCAAGGGGCCAGCAACCCACGTGGCCACCGAGGCAAAACCGAGCTGCTGTCTCCGGGGCCCTGACAACCCAAGGGGGCCCAATCCAGAGGAGGAACTGGGGAGGATTCTGGGCTCCGGAGAATTCCTGCGTTTCGACAGACACCTCATTATCCCCATCCAGCCTCTGTAATCACACAGGCCCACACCCAGCGGCAGTCCCAGGCCAGGAAATCACTTCCCTCCCCTCCCCGTCTTCCGCCCACGGCACCAGCACTGCTGCCCTGCCGCCGCCTGGAGCCACTCTGCGTGGACCTCCGGCCTGCCTAACAGTTCTCTCCTCTGCTTCTCCTCTCCTGCTGCTGCCCACTGCTGGGGCTTGGAAGTGTGGCTGTCCAGCTGGGCTGAATCTCCCAAGAAGGACGTGACAGGTAGGGCCTGGCGTGCGTGTACGTGCATGCTAGTGAACATGTGTGTCATGGCACGTGTGTTCTGTGCTCCAGGCGGCTTTCTTTCTGCATGCTTCCCAGTGACGGTCTTTTATTGGCATGCGTGGCATCTCTATGCCCTCGCCTGCCAGACAAACCCTTTGCTGTCCTTCCTCCCTGCTGCCAGCTGGGGATGTTTGGTGGTGAGGGGCCCACGTTACAGTGTGAGATGACCCCCACCCCCCGTGCGCGCTGGCCCCGGTGTGTGTGCGTTTGAATCCTGGCCTTGCCACGTCCGCGCTGTGCTTTCTTAGGAGGGTTGCGTAACCTCCCCCGGGAGATGGGATGCCACTCAAGGGGAGCCTGGCACCCGGGAAGTGTCAGGGTCATGGGGGTGGGGAGCTGTCTGTCGCACGGGCCATCCCGGTGATCATGAGGCTGTCCTGCCAGAATGAGTCACCTTGCCTCAGGGAGCTGAACTGAGGTCCTTGCTCCCCAAACCTGGCTTCCTGAGAGTTCACTGCAGGGGGGGCGGGGAGTTGGAGACTTGGGCTAGCGCGGGGTCGTCCTGTGCCTGTGGCTGAGTAATACTGGGTCACAGTCCCCACAGGGTCACAGCAGCCCTGAGCCTGGGAGCCACCTCCAGCCTCGGGGAGCTTGTAGGCCTTTGGCCTGCCTGGCAGAGATGGCTTTAAGGGACTTGGGACCTGGCTGGCGTCTGGCAAAGCTGGGCCACAGGTCAGGGACTTAGGTTGAGCCTTTGGTCTTAATGCATGGCGGCAGAAAAACCCGGACAGTGCCAAGAGGGAGATGCTGGGGGTGGGGGCCAGAAATAGGATTTCCAGAAGCATCTCCTGTGGGGCCTTTTCATTTCTGAGAGCAAAGATCCAGGGTTTAGGAGGTTTAGGGGACAAGGATCAAGTGTCAGGGGCCAGAGGGGTTTGGGTCAGCTCCCAGACTAACGTCTGATGTGAGAGCTCCCTCTCATCCTGTCAGCTGGTGTGGAGTGGAGGTGGACTTCATGGGAGAGGGGGCTAGGAGGAGGGGAGGCAGCAAGGGGAGGGCCCCCTGCCTTGGATTCCTGGTGTTCCCTGTGACCAGGGCCTGAGCCTGAGCTAATCACTGGGCGCCTGTCCCTTTTTCCCTTCTGCACAAGCCAGTGAGCTGGAGCCCACTTGGCCCAGGGCAATACATTCTATTCACTAAACGTATAGGGCATCCTGGGAGGAGCCCCGCCATGGGGCTGTGGAGAGCCCTTGGTGGGGTGCCCAGGATGAGAGGGTGATGGGGGGCCTGGGCGGAGCTATCCACAAGGCCTGGCTCCAGAGGATGATCCCCAGCTGTCAGGAGCTAGAGGCGCAGGGAAGGCGGCGGGGGTGAGGCAGCTGCACTGGAAGTCCAGGGCTGTTCTAAGGCAGGCCACCAGGCCTCTGTGGGCCTTGGGTTTCCTTCTGGAATGCTGGAGGATTTTGAAACTCGGAGGATACAAGCCGAGGCAGGAGTCCTAACAGATAAGGGTCCTGGGGCTGCTTGGCCTAGTGTGCACCCCAGTGGTACCCAGGGGCGCTGAGCAGACTCTGCATCTGGTAGGGGCCTACTCTCTTCCCGGAGGTGGGGTCTGAGGGGGCATGTTGTAGAGACACCAGCCCCACGCCTCCCCCTCTGTTCCTCTTTAGGGTGCAGCTCTTTAGAGCTGCCTGCCTGCTGGTTACAAGACTCTTTTCTAGCTCCTCCCCATTCTTTTCTGTTTGGTCTGGAAACAGCTGTCTGCAGTTTACCCGGGGCTTTAACTCCTGTCACTTCACTGCATGCTCAGAACAGTCCCACGAGGTCCTGTTATGGTTCCTGTTTACAGATGAGGGAGCTAAGGCTCAGAGAGGTTAAGTTTCCCTCCCAGGGTCACAGAGCAAACAAGAGCAAAACAGGACTGGCCCTCAGCTCCTCAGACTAAGTCTAAGCCTTTACATCTCAAGTCTGAGGCAATGAGTGCTTCCTGTGCACCTATGGCATCCGTTCTGGGCGAACACCATACTAAGGCAGCAGACTGGCTGAGGATGAAAGAGGGTACCATGGCTGGGTGGTAAAGGATCTTCCTGGAGGCAGAAATGCTGGGGTACTCAGAGAAGAGGGAAGCTTTCTGGGCAGGGGGCATGGCTCTAGCACAGCCTTGGAAAGGAAAATCATGCGTAGAGCAGTGTTGCTGGCACATAGTAGGCATTCAGACATGTGTGTCCAATTATGGCTGTTGCACAGAATGGTGGGGGAGGGGTCAGGAAACTTGGGGAGCTCAGATTGCAAGAAAGACTGGAGTTGAATTTGGCCTTTATTCTATAGGCACCAGGGAGCCCTTGGAAGTGCTGGAATAGTGGACTGACTTGGCAAAGGCCTCATTTTGAAGTTTAAGTTGGCAGCCAAGAGCGGGCAGCGGCCAGAGTTCCATCCAGGTGGTAGGTGGAGGAATGCAGGTGTGAGGCAAAGTGGGAGAGAATCCCAGGCACGGCCCTGGACCCCAGCAGGCCAGCCAGGAGCTCTGGAGTGAAGCACGATGCTGGGGTGGGCGTTCCCACCCCTGGGGGAGACCTCTGACCAAACTCCCAGCCCCAGAGGGGCTGCGCTCCCTAGAAGGGACCCACACTGTGTCCATGCTTCGGCCCAAACCCTCTCATCTGAACACAGGCAGCTCTGCCACTGGCCCTCCCTTCCCCCAGGCAGACTCCTCCAGCCCCCAACTTTCCTGGCCGTGGCTGGGAGGGGATCCAGAGCCGGCTCTATGGAATGACATCACTGCCCACCAGCTGCCTGGCCTTTGGAGTGCTTTCTCATCTGGATACCTGCTCCCAGCGCCTGCCCGCCCGCCCGCCTGCCCACGGGGGCAGCAGCCACACTCTAAGAGACAGATGCTTGAGAGGGCCAGCTGGGAACCCAAATGTGCTGAGGCTACGGTGGTGGGGAGCAGAGTGGGAGGGAAGCAGGAAGGACAAAGTATGTGTGTCCCTGTGTTTGTCCCTCAGCCTCAGCTGCCTCCTAGAAGAGCCTCAGCCTGCCCCTGCTATGCAACAGTAAATGAAGAATGTTCTCTTCCCTTCTCTACCTCTACCCCAGAGTCTTCAGGAAGCTCTAGCCAGTTTTCCAGGAATGGGGGCGGGGGTAGGGGCGGTGGGCATGGCCTGCCGATTTTTCTCCACTTTGAAATCTTGCCTCAGATTTTTCTTGGCCTGGATCAAAATGAGCTGATGTCTGTCCACCTTCCAGCACCTCCGCTTTGTCCTTCCTTGCTGACATCATCTGGCCCCAAACCCAGAGCTCCTTGTTCCTTCTTGCCTCAGTTTCCCTGACACCTTTCCCATTTGGGAGGTGAGGCCATCCAGTCACTGTCCCTCTGTCTGGCAGTTCATTCATTTCACACACACAGGCATCGTGGTCTAGTCCGTCTGGGTAACAAGAGTCAAAAAGCAACCCACACTCCTGTCTGTAGGAGGCGTCACCTGTGTACCGGGTGTCTGAGGATGTAATGGGGCCCCCACTGAAGGCCTGGCATCAGTCATGTGTGGTACAGAATTTAAGACTCTGATCGTAGCAGGGCTTGGGCTCAGTTCTAGCTGCATGATTGTAGCAAAGTTTCTTCTCCTGGTGAGACTGTTTGCCCATAGGTAAAATGGGGCTGTCACAGGGCCTGTACTGCATAAGGTGGTTGTGAGAATCAAGCAGAGCAGTAGAACACCACCGTCAGACTCTGCAGGAGGCCCTGCTGATGGAGACTCAGTGTCACCTGTATGACTGCCATGCCCTTGGGACTTGGGGAGCTCTTGCTGGGGAACTCCTCTCTTCTATTTGGATCTTGAGTTTTGCCCTTCTCACTTTTCACACCCAGGATCCCCCAAACCAGACAGGTGTGGCCCCACAGGGCAGAGGCCAGCATGATTTTGTGCTTGTGCCCTTAGGAAGTGCTGCTGGCCCCAGCCTCCCAGGTCTGCTCTGATGTCCCCCAGGGCACAGTGGGAGGCCATCTGTCAGCCCAGCCTCGCTGATGGCTCATGGCAGGCAGGCAGGCGCACGCGCAAAAGCTGCCAGCACCCGCATGCAGAGGCGGAGCCCCCCTGCTGCCCAGCTGTTGGGTACATTTCTGCTTGAAATACAATCCTGGCTTTGGAGGGGCTGCCTGGGGCTTATATGTGCATACCCACCCACAGGGCACACCTCAGCTTGGACAGAATCCCTTCTGCGGCTCCAGAGGGCCCCACTGGGGCTGGGGGGGGCACACCATATAGGGGCAAAAGTGTTTAAATACACTCCAAATTGGGGGGGGGCGTCATACAAATACCTGACCAGTTAAACCAGGATCACTGAGACCCAATCTTTGGGGTTTTTATTTTTTAATTTAATTTTTTGTCAGTCATGGGGCCTGAACTCTAGGCCTGGGCGCTGTCTGTCATCTCTTCAGCTCAAGGCTGGTGCTCTACCACTAGAGCCACAGCGCCACTTCTGTTTTTTTCTGCTTATGTGGTGCTGAGGAATCGAACCCAGGGCCTCATGCATAGAAGGCAAGCACTCTACCACTGAGCCACCTTCCCAGCCCCCTGTGAGGTGTTTGAAAAGCTCTTTGGGTGATTCTGTACCTTTAAGTAGAAGATTTATTATGCCAGAAGAACAATGGGTGTGTGGAAACAGAAATGAGAAGCTCTGTAACCAGGAACTAATGAGGTGTGGCGCAAGTGGTAGAGTGGCAGCCATGAATACCAAGTGAGAGCTCCAGGACCTTGAGTTCCAGTACTGTGGACACACACACACACACACACACACACACACACACACACACACACACACACACACACACACACACACACACACACACACGGGTTTCTCTATACCAGCTGTAGGAGCTGGGGGGAGTCTCTTGCCCTCTCTGAGCCTCTAAGAATGTAAAATGGGAAAAGAGGGAGGGGTTTGTGACGGGATGTGACTGGATTGAGGAATCTTGGCCATTGGTATGGCCAGGCTAGGGATGTGAAGCCCCCAGTGCAAGGAGATTGGCAGGCATAGATTTTTGTATTTGACTTTGGTTTTGAGATGGAGTCTCATTCTGGAGCCCAGGCTGGCCTTGAACTCAAGATCTTCCTGCCTCAGCTTCCAGTGAACTGCAGTGTCTGAATGACAAAAGGTTTAAGTAGTGTCCTAGGACCTCCCTTTGGGCTAGATAGCTCTATTTGGGAAGGCTTCCTGAAGGAGGTGACGAGTTGGATCCTGGCTGGTGGATTGTATTAGCTTCTGGCAGGGCACATAACATTAGCTTTAGGTAATGGTAATTGTTGAAGCACAGAAGGGTTTATGGAGCACATTTAGCCACACAGCCAGTAAGCCAGATGGGGATAGCCAGGTGGTCTACCCTGCAGCCTGGTGTTTCCTGAACGAATGTCACACTGGTCCAGTAGCTGGTGAGGCAGACCAGTTACTTACTCCTTGGAGCCTGCGGCCTACCTACCCTCCCTCCCTACCTCCCTACCTCAGCCTTAGGCCCTTGGATCTCCTAAGAAGGTGGCTGGAGGCTGCTGGAGTTTGAGCACATCCCAGCACTCTTGGAAGAGGGAGACCAAGGCTCTTGGTGAGGGCTGAAGCTAGGCCCACTGGGGCATCCTGAGGCTGAGCCTGCCAGAAGGACAGGAATGGAGCCGAACTTGAGGAAAAGTTGGCGGAGGTGTGGGGATGGGGGTGGGGGGGGGGTGGGCTGGGCTCCAGTGCTGGCGCTGGGACTTTCTTCTTGGGTTTCAAGTAAACAGTCTGGGCCCTCCTCCCCTCCCCTGCCTCCACCCCCTGCTCCTCATTCGATGGGTCTCATGTGTTTCTATTTAAGGGCTGCGAGTAAGCCCCAGTGATTGGCGGCCTCAAACCCTCTGGACTCCTCGCAGGGCCTGGGCTGTGGAGTTCTCTCCTGCTCTCCCTCTCCCGCCTCAGGGAGCTCTGCTGCCTTTTCTCTCTTGGCTTACAGGCTTGGTTGGGGTAAAGGCTGGGGCCTCGTCCTGGGCCTGCCCCCTCCGCCTCTTCTCTCTCCTTCCTGCACTGTGGCCTCAGCCCTCATGGGCCGCCCACTGCTTGCTCCTGGCCCTCCCCTCACACCCTGGCGGGCCCAGGAGTCTAGAGACCACATCAGCCTCAGGCCGCTCTGCACACTCCCCCATGCCGGGCTGTGACTAACTCTTCAGGGCAGCAGGCTTTCCCCTCTCTTTCCTGGGCCTCTGTCTCCATCTGTCTCTGGCCCCCTCCTCCCCCTTCTCCTTCCCCTGTCCCCCCTGGCTCCCCATGTCCCCCGGTCCCCGCAGTGCAGCGGGCCAGTGTGGGGCCTTGCTATATGGCCTGTCCTTGGGGCCCAGCGAGCTTCGAGCCCTGGCTGCGGGCTGGCCCTTGGAGCAGCACTGGCGACCGAGCAGCCTCTCGAAGGGGCAATGGACAGGGGCCGCCCCGGCCGCGGGGCCATGGCTGGCCACTGGCTCACCGCGTGCTTTCTGCCCTCACCAGGTGCCGACACCAACGCCGAGCCCATGATCCTGGAACAGTACGTGGTAGTGTCCAACTATAAGAAGCAGGAGAACTCGGAGCTGAGCCTCCAGGCTGGGGAGGTGGTGGATGTCATCGAGAAGAACGAAAGTGGTAAGTGCCCGGCCGCTGGCTGTCCATTCGGGGTTCCAGCCTGGCTCCCCAGCCTGGCTAGGTTTTGTTCCTGTCCTCCTCCCCCCACCTCTGCAGCTATACGTTATTTCCATCTGGCAGGGAGAAAGGCTGAGGAGTCTGAAGTTCCCCCTGTTGGTTTGGGCTGCAGGCCAGCAGTTTGCCTGGTGGTGGAAGAATGTCTCTCAGGCTGAGGGGTAATTAGCCGGCTTGTGTTAGCGCAAGACCCGGGTGGCAGAAAGCAAGGTCCAGCCCTGCTTGGGAACCCCACACTCTCTGAAGTCCCCTGAGCCACGGACCTCAACAGCAGTTTCTCCTGTGGGGGCCATATTCCAAGCTAAGATCTAGGTTCTCAGGCGAGGCCTGAGAACCCAGCCAGCTGGTAGGCACCATGGCTATAGCATCACAGTAGGGTTCAGAGTCGCCGGGCCCCCAATGAGTTGTCTGGGGAAGGACCGGTCCTGTGGGAGTTGGCCGGTGTCTGGGTGGTGAGCTGACTGCCCCCTGCTGAGCTGGAGGCCGCCAGGATTTGGGAAGAGGACCCAGATGGGGACGAAGCCAGGTCCTGCAGCCAGAGAGGGTCCTGCGGCAGCCGCTTTGTCGTTAGGAGCAGACGTAGGGGCCGTGCCGACGGCTGCCCAGGGGCTGCTGGTTCCAAGGTTCTTACAGACTGCGCCTTGGTGTCCTTGGCAGCAGAAGTTGTGGCAGGTGGAGGAAAAAAGAGCCCAAGTCTGTCAGTCCCATGTTCGGGGTTCGTGTGGCTCTGCGGGACCAGCAATGGTCCTCAGACTCACGACATCCATGGGCCGTTTGCTTCGGCTTGCCGTGCCGGGTGACGCTTGACTGGGCTTGGAAGTGTGTTGTTCCAGTTCCACTTTGCCTGGGGAAGGCTGTGCATGGGAGCTCCCCGCACTGGGTTTCTCCAGAGCAGGGGGGGCCTCCCGTTCTCACCTTGTTCCTCGGTACTCTTTGAATATTGTGAAAGGCGGGCAAACCAAAGGCCATGTCTATGGACAGAGTGACTGAGTCACAGAGATTGAGAGGAAGCAAGCATCCTAAGGTTAAAGGTGGAATCAACATACTCTAGATTCCTCTGTCTTGGTGACAAGTAGCTACCAAGAGACAATCCCAGTGAGCCTCTGGAGGAGGTGGGCTCAGGACTCTGCCAAAGGTCTTACCAGCAGGCTGATGGAGCACAGAGATGAGGTGTGAGCACAGGCCTGACTCATGGCCCTCCTTGCCCTGGAGTCTTCACAACTCATTCCCCTGTCAGAGAGGTCAGGCTCTGCCTCTGTGCCTGGAGTCACCCTGTCCACCTCGCAGAGCTGTGTCCCTGGTGTAACGCCTTGACCCTTGGCTCTAGGTAGCCACCACACTGGTCCTCTTCCCGACCAGCTATTCCCTCAAGTCTTTGTTATACCACCAGCCCCACTTCCCTGCTCCCCAAGGAAGCTGCCATTGCCCATGGAGAGGGTACGCAAGCCCTAAGCACCTTTCGTGGTGGGGCGTGGGATTCGTTGCTCATTTGGGAGCTTACACCTCAGGAAGACAGAGGTTCTGTCTAAGGTCAGATCTTCCCTCAGGGACCCTTGGACTGCCGCACCTGCCCTCTGTCATGGCAGCTGTCTAGCCCCAGAGCAGCAGGAAGGGGTGAGCCCCTCAGGTCACTGGGGTCAGCCACTGGTCAGGATGGCAGAAGATACACCTAGAAGAAAGTCTGTCCTGCTTTAAGACTCTGTGATTCCCAAGGGCATGTTTGCCCTCTCCCTTCTTAATCCACATCCATGACCCTATCAATACTTGGAGTCCTGCCTGGGCCTAAGAGAAAACTTTGAAAGTCAGTGTTGGCCTGGAAAGCATGTGGAAATACCACGTGTGGAGCGCGCCATGGCTGTCTGAGGAGGCCCAGCCTCCCTGACTCTTCCTTTATCACTTGTGGCTGGGGAGTTCTGCTTCACAGACCCTATGAGAGAATGGCTGTCCCTCAAAGCAGGATTCCGCCTGCCGCCGGTGGGCTAGTGGCTTCACATCCCCTAACTTCTCTAAGCTGTGATTGTCCTTTGTGTAATCTGGAGATAAGCTTGTGGCTGCTTAGAACTGGGAAGGAGCAAACAAGCTCCACGAGCCCACTCCTGAGTCTGAACACAGTGACCCAAGTCTGGACACCGCGATGGGGTGACTTATTCAGGCCATGGGTGTAAGGTGGAGCCAGCCTCTGTGCACATGGCTTTTCTGCCCTGCTGGGAGTTTTGTATCTTGCCCCTCAGTGGAGATGGCTGCACCGCTGCAGGTGTTTGCACAGGGGCACGGAGTGCTGTGGCCATCTATGTATTGCCGTCAAAAGCCTGGAGGCCCGAGTGTATAGCTAGCTTAACCTCAGAAACTAAGTGGGTGGAGGAGAAAGGAAGGGTGCCAAGTTGCAGAGCTGGGAAGGTAGTTCCTTGGTAGGGAAGCTGGAGGGTGGGGAAGGAGGCGTGTACATCTGAGAGCTGGCTTCACAAGGGGTGGCGATTGAAGCTTTTGAACTCTAGAACAAAGACCCACTTGTGATGCCCCTGACCTGGGACATGGTGGGCGTGTGGAGGCATTTCCATTGGCATGGATGGCAGTGGCCCCAGGCAGCAGCTTCCCCTAGGCCTCCCATTGTGCGCCTTCTCCTTAGCTGCAAGTCCCTCAGATGGGAGATCCATAGAGAGGCTTCCAGCAATTTCTGACTCTGCCTGCTCATCAGAGTCTCTGGGCTCTGACCACAATGGCAAAGTGAAGTGGAGATGTGGGCACGCCAGCACTCTGTTCTGATCTGCGCAAGAGAGGTGTTTACAAGGTAAACCATAAGCACCATATGTGGTAAACACCAGGTGCCAGCTCATGCACTTCCCACGTTCATTCTACTAGTCACAGAACACACATTAGTTGTAGAGAGCGTTCTACCCATTTTGTGGCTGAAGTAACAGGCAAAGAGGTTACATGATCCCCTTAGAGGTCCTGAGGCTCAGAAAAGGCTAGTCCCAGGTGGGGAGTAGATAAACGTGTGATGTTGTGATTGGTAATGCCCGGGGAAATAAAGGAGGAGACATGGGCTGGTGGAGATGACAACAGAGCTCCCTGGAACATGTCCTTGCTGAAGGATGTCTCTGGGACCCTGCTGGTGGTCATGGGTGGTTAGAATTTGTGTTGGTAATTGAATAGTTGAACTTGGAGGCAGCCAAAGATGAGATGATTTCAGTTCATCTTGTGATGTGTTCCCAACATCCAGGATAAGCCTGTGTCTGGGAATGCAGATGTACAGAAGTCAAAGATACCCAGAGCAGTCCCTACCTGGCTTGGTGCTATTCCTGAGGGGTTTTTTTTCTGTGTGTGGTTTTTTGTTTTGTTTTGTTGTTATTGTTTTTCCTCAAGGCTAGTGCTCTACCAGTTGAGCCACTTTTTTGGGTGGTTAATTGGAGATAAGAGTCATCATGGGGGTTGGGAAGGTGGCTCAGTGGTAGACTGCTTGCCTTGCATTCATGAGGCCCTGGGTTGGATTCCCCAGCACCACATAAGCAGATAAAGGCCAGAAGTGGCGCTGTGGCTCAAGTGGTAGAGTGCTCGCCTTGAGCTGAAGAGCTGAGGGACAGCGCCCAGGCCCAGAGTTCAAGCCCCACGACTGACCAAAAAAAAAAAAAAAAAGTCTCATGGACTTTCCTACCTGGGCTGGTGATCCTCAGCTCTCAGCCTCTCGAGTAGCTAGGGTTAAGAGCTTGAACCACTAGCTTCTGGAAAGCATTTTCGATCAGAGAAAGCCTAGGGACAGATACAGAAAAGGACTTTTTTTTTCTTTCTCCTGCTATCAACAGGGTCACTGATCAACAGGGTCAGGGTCAGTGCTCAATAGGGTCAACTGTTTTGGTAGCTGTGCCACCCAGGAGATGTGCCAAAATGGCAGCCGCAGCCATTGTTGTGTATGCTGTGGAATAGTACCTGAGATGCTGGCTTCTAGTAGGACATTCTTGTGCCTCAAAGACCACACTGGCTGCACCTTTCAGCAGGAGCAATTGGTCTAACATCTGTTGAGTGGTGATGTCAGGGTCCTGGTTGCTCTTGATTTCTGGGCTAACCAAAGCTGCCTCCAATTTTTCCAGGATTGTTTCTTTCTTCTGAGGACTGCAGGCCAGGACAGGAAGTGGGGAGATGAGTCAACAGAATTTTTCCTACCTCAGCTTTCCTCCTCCTAGTCTTTGCTTATTTCCTGGCACTGAAGTGATGCACTGAAGGTTCTTATACTTTCTTGGGAAACAAGGGATTTTGTGCTGTTCTGTTCCATTCACTTAGTTTGCCAATGAGAAAACTAAGCCTTGAGAATCTTTACTCCCTTCCAGAGCCAGTGCTTTAGTCCCAGTTTGTGAGCAAAGAATAGAAATTCACTTCAACTTGCTCAAGAGGTTATTAAAAGGCTGGAGGATCTTTTCACAAAGCCAGTCTTCAGTAACTCTTACAGAAGCCAGGCGTGAGAAGCAAATTCCAGCCTCAGCAGGTTAGGAATGGGAACGAAAGCAGCTACTCTTATCTGTCTCTCCCTTGGGTACCATAGACAAGCCTTCCTTCTCTTCTCATTCACCCTAGGCAGCAGATTATTGGTTGGCTGTCAGCACCAGATTCTGTGTAATTTCTCAGTTGAGATAGCTAGTAACAATTGTCTGTGGCCTCTGGTTTTGTAAGTTCAGAATTTGAAGTTTGAGTTGGGTGCAGTAGTACATATCTGTAGTCCCAGCTCCTGGGGAAGCAGAGTTAAGAAACCCTTTGGGCCCACAATTTGAACCCCAGCCCGAGCACCATAGAAAGATCCTCTCTTTAAAAAAATTTTTTTTGAATGTTCAAACCTGATTGGTTCCTGGCTAGCCAATGGATTGGCAGACCTCACATCAGATCTCCATCTCTGGTCTAATCATCTGTGTCCAGGAGAACATCACAGGGTATAATCATGGCTGCTTAGTAACTTCTCC